ACTGCAGTTGCAACTAAAGCTAGGCTCTCACGTCAGTCCCTGAAGGCAAGACTGGTGCATTAGCAAAATTACCCTTCAAAATCTCTCAGCTCTCCTGTCAAACGCAGCACACACCGCTTTGTACGAGTGATTTTTTGGGGGGCAACAATCACATGTGTGTGTGTGCAACGAGGCACAAGATGCAACACAATACCCATGCACGGTGGGATTTTAGAGAATTGTGAATTTGTAAAGGTTAAAAAAAGATCGGCTGTGAATCTATATAGCTGAGCTTAAGACGCACATTATTAAAAACAAAACAGGGACCAGCAGTAGGCGTAATGGCTATGTTGCTGGACTCCCACGTAGTCAACCGCGGTTCGCGTTCCGGACCCGGTGGTTTAAACTCATGCCGGGCGCATGTGCGTGCGTGCCCAAGATTCGGAGAGGAAAATGGAGGAGAAGGGATTGCGGCGTGGCCATCCCCCCTGGGGGGTGATTTCTCACTTTCTGTCTCTCTCTGTCTTTCTGGTGAGCGCATGCGCCCTATAGTGAAAACTTCTCAAAAAAAAAAAACCCCACAAAACAAAAAAAAGCACTGCTTTCAAAAGTGTTTGCACTAAAATCAGGCTTACTGTAATTCCATTTTCCACAAGCTCTGTGAAGCCTGTTTGTACAGAATGGCTGCTGACCTGGAAGGCCTGGGACACAGCCTGGAGGAGCGGGGAGCTCAGGCCTAGCTCCCCTCGGAGTGGGGAACCCCAGACCATTGGGCCCTCTGTGGCCCCAGCTTCCCACCTACAGCCGAGGGTCCCAATCTGTCCCTGATCCTCGGGCCCTCGCAGGAAGGCTTTTCTCCTTTCTCTGTCTGAAGAGGACGTGGAGATCGTGTCTAAACACCTCTGGGTTCAGCCCCTTCTCCCAGGGAGACACAGTCTGCACCCAGCCCAAGCTCCCACTGTCTCCTGCCCGGGGGCCTCAAGGGTTTCCTCCCCTTCCCTGCTACCACTCACTCTCAAGAAACTGCTTCCCAGCATACATGAGAGCCTCCGTCGGTGGGCTCGAAGCGCTCTGACGGCCCCTGGCTGCCTGTCCGCCGAATCCCGGAGTGCTGACAATGGCCTCCACATTGCTCTCTTCAGTTTGTACCCGGATCCCCTTCCCAACACACCACCCCTGCCACGCTGGCCTCTCTTTGCTTCTCGGACATCCTGAGATCATTCCTGCCTTCGTCCCTGCCTCAGACCCTCGACCGTGCTTCTCCCGGGCTTCCTGGGCAACTATTTCCTGTCGATGAGGCATCAGCTCGGCAGCCACCCCCTTAGCGAGGCCTTCCCTGACACACCGTCTGGAGTAGCTCCTCTCCCCTTCTCATCCCGGCCCTCATCGTCACCAGCTTCGGAGTACGGACTCACAGGCCTGCTGTCTGTTCTGCCCTAGAAAGAGAGGCCCATGGGAGCGGCCTCCCCAGGCCCGGGACAAACCAGGCCCTCCATGAAGTGCCGTGGATCGAATGAATGAATGAATGAATGAATGAATGAATGAATGACACTGGCCTCGGAGTGTCAACGAGAGGTCTCCGTTCTCCTCGGGCTGTGAAGCCCTGCAGAACTGGGGAGGGGGACGGGCCCAGGAAAACAAAGACTTAGCGTCTGGCTCATTGGAGGAGCTGAGGGGGCCTCCCAGAGCTCAGAGGAGGACCCCACTTTACCTGGAGCTGCTTCAGGGCCTTCTGGGCTTGCTCTGGCTTCTTGTATTCCACGAATCCAAACCCCATGGAAAGCAGTGCTCCTGAGAGAGAGGGGGGGGTGGTGGACATCGTACCAGGGTTGTGGATGGGGATGCAGAAGGGCGCAGATGGGGTGCAAGACTTTGGCGGACCCTGGGCCTCGCTTCAGTTTCCCTTTTGTTTTCACACCCTGTTCCGTTCCCGAAAGAGCCTCCAGCTCCTGGCTGGCCGATCATGACTAGTCATCCTGACGAGTCAGCCAGCGAGGTGATGTGGCCGCCACCTGAGGCCCAGCTGACTGTTAATTAACAGATGATTGACATGATAATTAACTCCGTAATAAAATCCCGCCTTCGGGAGGGAGAGGGAGCTCGCAGGGATGACCAGCGAGATGACAGCCAAACTTCTACCTGGGCAGCTGGGCTTCCATACATAATGCATGAAAGGAAGACGTGCAGGAAAGGCTCCTTCTGTCCAGGTGGGATCTGATCACTCGGGTCCTGCTTTTCAGATACGAAGTCGGGACGGGAAGGCTGGGTGGGATCATTCTACCTGATCGGGTTCCCCACTTCTAGGGGGGAGTGGCGGGAGTCCGCACTGCAAGAGCGATCACAGAAACCGCCAGAAACTTGGCCTCCCTGACTGGTTACAGGTAAGGAGGGGACTTCAGAAAGGTGGTAGAAAAACAGAATTCAAGGACAAGGACAAATCTAGTTTGGTGCAAAACTTTTTGCTTTTTTAAGAGATTATTTTGCTGGTGGGTGTATGCGCTCATCAGAGACACAGAGAGACAGAGACAGAAAGGGAGAAGTCATCCCCACTGTGTGTGTGTTGGGGGGCAAGGGTGGCCATGTTGCAATCTTTTCTCCTTTATTCTCTTGGGACTTTGGGGACACAGGCAACATGTGCCTGGCGTGAGTTTCAAGCGTCTGGGTCTGGGACTTCAACCGTGGCTGGCCATGTGGGGAGTCCAGTGATGCAAACATTACACCACCTGCTGGCTCTGGTGCAAAACATACTTAAAGCCCATGCATAGTTTTTTGTTTGTTTTTTAAATGTGCATTTCTATAAACTTTCTGTCTTTTTTTTTTTTTTTTGGAGAGGTTTTTACGATAGGGCGCGTGCACTCGCCAGCAAGACAGAGAGAGACAGAGAGACAGAAAGCAAGAAATCACCTCCCCTTTTCCTCCATTCTCCTCTGGGGATATGTGGCATGCACGTACACATGCCCAGCGTGAGTTTAAGCCACCGGGGCGAGGACTTGAATGGCGGTCGGCTTCATGGGAGTCCAGCAACACAGCCATTACGCTAACTGCTGGTCCCATTTCCATGAACTTTCTGAAGATGCTGCCTGCATATGTGCATATGTCAGTATGTACAATTAGCGGGGGGTTATTTTCACGGAGCACTAAAAAGAAATCCAAGGTCCCTAATTACATCTTGTCTTTTTGATGCAAAAATGGAGACAAGAGGGTAGTCTCTGCCTGGTTCACGTTGGCTGGGGAGGTGCACGGTTAATGCCTCGGTGGAATGTTCCAGAAGTTCTATGTCTGGGTTATCGCCCTTGGAAGGGAAAAGTGTTCTTTTATTTCCTAGGGATTTCCACGCAGAGGGCTAGGGGAAGGGTCAGCCAGGCCCGTCTATACGTGACACTGTCTGAAATATCTCCGATGGCCTTGGGGAGTGCAGGGCCCAGGTTTGGAAGGACCCAGTGGCAAGACTGCTTCCGCTGATAAGCAGGAGTCTCCAGAGAGAGACAGAGAGGGGACAAGCCGAATGAGACAGCCAGAGGGTGACCACGCTTCGGAACGGAAGGCAGCCACGTAACGACCCAGCGAGGTGCCCTGGTCCCCTGCCGAACGCGACACGGTTTCTTTCAGGCCATTTCTTTCTGAGATGTCACACAGAATACCTGCTTTGTTCTTCTTCCTGGAAATAGAGCAGCTCTTCACCATTCCCACTTTGGAGAAGACCTGGAAAGGGACATTAGCACGGACCATGAGCACTTCCGGGATGACCCTGTGACTCACGCAGGCCACGCATCTAACCACGGGGACCAAGAAGGCGGGGGTAAAGGCAGGGCTGGCCGTGGTCTGTGGCCTGGTGGTCAGGGCAGATGGATCCCACGTGGCTTGAAAAACACCCCCCCTCCCCCGTTCTGAGACACCCACTTACTTTCCTCAGCGTCTCCTCTGCCGTGTCAAAGTTGAGATTTTTAATAAACAGAGTACAGCCCGGGGAGCTCTCCTCGTCCTCACCCTCGCCCTCGTCCTCGTCGTCCTCCTCCTCCATCTTTGCAGGCGTGTCCTCCGTGCCTCCTCCTGTCGGCTTTTCGCCTTCTGGGGTCTCACTGTCTGGTACTGGGTCCATCAGGAAAAACATCCATTCAAAGGGGTCTCACCCACCAAAGCCCCGGTGCGACCAAAGCTACGAGATCAAAGGGGTTCTTCCTCCGCAGGGGGGAGTCAGGAAGGGACACTGCAGTCCCAGCGTGGGCTGAGTTTCAGTAGCTCTTGAGAGAGAGGGAGGGAGAAACTTAGCGAGGGACAATGCCCTATCCCCTGCTTGTTTTAAAGAAAAAGAAGAAAACACATACTAAAAGCCACAAGCCTTAAATAGAACTAACCAATGCTGATTTTTAATTTTTTTTAAAGAGAGGTTTTTGCTATAGGGCATGTGTGCTTGCTGGAGAGGCAGAGACAGAGACAGAGACAGGAAGTAAGAAATCACCCCCTGGGGGGGATGGCCACATTGTCATCCCTTCTCCTCCACTCTCCTCTCGGGATTTTGGGCAGGTACGCACACGTGCCTGGGAAGAGTTTCAAGACACTGAGTTCAGAACTCGAACCATAGCTGGCCATGTAGGGGGTCCAGCGATGTAACGGTCACGCCATCTGCTGGCCCCCTAGTTTTCAAATTTGTGTGTAGGAGAGATGAAAGGGGTATTTTTGGACAGGGTCTAGCTGTGTCACAATCCTCCTCCCTCAGCCTCCTAAGAAGCTGGGACTGCAGGCATGTGCATGGCGCCTGGCCTTTTAGGGTGGGTGGGGAGTAGAACTCAGGCCTCCCATGTGGACTCGGCTGGGGGGCTGGGAATGGTAGCAGCTAGGCCTCGCCAATGTGAACCTGAGCTGCAAAATACATTACTAAGTGAACTGCTTTACTGACGCATGAACCTCAGGACGTTTTGTTTTTCCTTCAAACAAAATAGTACTTAGCGAGGGCCAGCAGGACTGGTGACATGGTTAAGGGCACTGGACTCCCACATAGTCGACGGCGGTTCAAGTCCTGGACCTGGCAGCTTGCTTTCTCTCTTTCTCTCTTTCTCTTGCTCTGTTGCTCTCTGGTCAAATTTATTTATGAATAAAGTTAAATAACATACTTTAAAAAAAAATAGTACTTAGCGAACTTTCAAACTAAGATGCAACTTAAAACTTTTCAAAACTTACTGAATGGGAGTCAGATTGAGAGCATTCTGAATGCTCCTTGACCCCAGGGGCTGTTCCACTCCCAGTCTGCATTCCTTTAAGGAGCACAGACATGGGGTATGCACGTGCACGCATGCAACAGTGAAGTTGTCATATGCCCAAACAAGGGACTGGGCAAGTCATGGGACCATCAACGGCTGGAATAATACGCGGGCATGAAAAAGGATGTTTCCCAAGGATGCGTGATGACGTGAGACAACACTCTAAATACAGCAACTGAGAGAATGGGGCCAGCAGATGGAGTAGTGGTTACATTGCTGGACTCCCACAGGGCTGACTGTGGGTCGAGTCCTGGACCCTGTGGCTTGAAACTCACGCCGGACATGTGTGCGTGCATGTCCAAAGTCCCGAGAGGAGACCGGAGAAGAAGGCACTGTGGCGTGGCCATCTCCCCTACCTTCCACGGTGATATCTCACTTTCTGTCTCTGCTTCTGTCTCTCTGCTGAGCACCCATGTCCTAGAGCAAAACTCTCTCAAAAAATAAAAAAATGGAAATATTAAAATATAAAAAGGACAACACAAGGACAATCAAAAGAAGTACAAAGCACGACCACGAGCCGCACAGAGCTTGTGAGGACACACACCCGTGAGCACACGCATGTGAGCACACGCGCGTGAGCACACACACACGAGGAGGGGGCGGGACGGAGACGTGCCAAGGGCTCCCGGGGGTTCCTCAGGAACTCAACCGCACGGGGCTGTCGCTCCCACCTGGCCAGTGTCCTTTATCCTCCCCTTTGTCAAAGGAGCAGCATTCTGGGGGAGGAACAAGCGAAGGAGCAGCTGTGAGTGTGGGCCAGGGGCATGTGTCTCGGCTGCAGGGCAGGGAACCCTGGCACTGCGTGTGGATTTCACCCAAGAGACCTGGGAACGGGCTGGCCTCGCGACCTTTTGAGAGACCCTGCCAGGAGACGATGCATTCAGCTGGGGGCCAGGTGGTGACGCAGAGATGCCGGGACTGGGTCCCCCTCCCAGAGCACCCCAGGAACATGCTCCTGGCTGGCCGAGGCAGGGGAAGGCTATGGGAGGAAGAGCCTGCTGGCTGGCTGGCTGGCTGTCTGTCTCTAACATAAGAAATATTAAGTAAATACACCTTAGTTTTTTTTTTTTTAAAGGTTTTTGCCATAGGGCACGTGTGCTCGCTGGAGAGACAGAGGCACAGAGAGGGTGAGAAATCCCCCCCCAGGGGAGAGGACCATGCCACAAGCCCTTCTCCATTCTCCTCCTGGGGTTTAGGGCACGCACGCATATGCACCCAGCATGAGTTTCAAGCCTCCACATCCAGGATTTGAACCGTAGTCGGCCACGTGGGAGTCCTATGCCACCTGCTGGCCCACACCTTAAAATCTTTTTAAAAAGAAAATATGTTCAATTTGGTTCAGCCTTTCCAATTTCCCTGGCACAAGACTAGGGCCCGAGACAAATACCCCCCTATACACCCAAAAACAAGGTTCCTGAGGCTCCTCCACACCCCCAGGTAACCACCTGCCTCCCGCCCCCAAAGTCTTCAGAGCTGTTACCCACCACGCCCACGCGTCCCTCACCCACACCTTCTGAGGCTGCTCAGGGGCCTGGAGCTGTGCTGGCGACAACTGCTTCTCCCCCCACACCTTTATGCAAATAGTTCAAACATCTGTGTGACCTCAAGGGCCTACTTGGGGCTCAAACTCGCCCCCTCCCACTCTCATGCCAAGCACCAGAGCCGGCTCCTGGCTACCCTACTCTCTGTGATGTGAGCCTGACGCTTTGAAGTCCTAATTAAGCTTCAGCCGCTTTGCCATAAAACCACCCTTTTAAACCCTCGCGCAAACAGCTACAGGGACGCTGTCTCTCTAATACTGGCTGAACACGCAGCCTTCACCCCGGTGGAGGGGAGCCTGGAATCCAGATCTCCCACCCCAGGACAGAACGGAGAAAACCCACTCAAGGGCCCTCCCCCATCTGAGGCGCCAACACCATTTACCCAACGAGAAACATTTGTTCTCAAGACCCAACTTCCAAGGCAAAGCGAGGGGACCCAGGGGAGCCAGGGATGGCGACACACACCCTGCAAAGCGGCTAGGATTCAGGTCCTGGGTGAGAACTTCAACGGCGCCCTTTAAACCGTGACCATCAGGGACCAGCAGATGCATAATGGTTCTGTCACTGGACTCCCACACAGTCGATCATGGTTCGAGTCCCGGACCCGGTGGCTCAAAGCTCATGCTGGGTACATGTGCATGTGTACCCAAGATCCCGAGAGGAAGAACGGAGGAGGAGGGATTGCAGCTTGGCCATCCCCCCTGGGGGATGTGGTACCACGTCGCCAAAACGGGCAGGGTGGCACAAGGAATACCCCCAAGGCTTTGGCAGATGAGCCCAGAAACTTAGGCACCTTGGGGTTGGCAAGAGAAGTCCCAGAAGACTACAAAAACTGTTAACAGAGCGGGACCAGCAGTTGGCGTAATGGCTATGTCACTGGACTCCCATGTAGTTGACCACGGTTCGAGTTCCGGACCCGGTGGCTTAAATTCACGCCGGGCGCATGTGCATCCGTGCCCAAGATCCCGAGAAGAGAATGGAGGAGAAGGGATTGCGGCGTGCCCATCCCCTCTGGGGGGGAATTTCTCGCCTTCTGTCTCTCTGTCTCTCTCTGTCTTTCCAGCAAGCACACATGCCCTATAGCCAAAACCTCTCCAAAAAAGAAAAAAGAAAAAAAAAACAAACCAAAAAACCTGTTAACAGAAAACAGTGGAGTGGGGTGGTGCCTTGGGAGGGTTGTGGCCAGGTCAAGGGGACGGCCCCTTTTTGGATTGGCCAACAGCTGCCACGTGGCGAGGATGACCCAGTATGGCCAAGAATCTAGCAATCCCTTCTCCATTCTCTTCTCAGGATCTTGGACACACACACATCTGCCCAGCGTGAGTGTAAAGCTGCCGGGTCCGGGACTCAAACTGTGGTCAGCAACTTGGAGTCCAATGATGTAACCGCTGGGCCATCTGTTGGTCCCAGTACGTTTATTCTTGACATCACTTTTGTGTACACTGCCCAGCCAGGCCTCGAGGGGGAAATCCAGGGGGAAATGTCGGAGACCCCTAACCCAGGGCGAGGAGAGCCCCTGTCACAGGCTCCTGAGGAGGCCAGCCAGTGCCGACTTCTGAGTCAAGAGGTCTGTCCACCGCCTGCTCTCCAAGTCGCCACAGACCTGCTGTGGCCCAGGTCTGGACCTAGGGAGGTCTGGAGGAGGCCGAGAAGTGGCCATGAAACGGAAGGTCATTTTAGAAAGCACTTCTGCTTCTGGCCTGAGTCAGGAGACCAACAGAAGATGAGAAAGAAGAGACACGGCATTGTGAAACTCACGCGGACGTCGGCCAGTGCGATGGCCAGGGACCAGAAACAGGGAAGGTGGGCACCAGGGCCGGGCTGCGGGCGGGGGGCGGGGAGGGGAGAGGAGGCCCTGGAAAGGCAAGGTGGGCTGGCGGGGGCTGGGAGAGGCTCCACAGTCAGCCCCAGTCACGCACCGCCACATGGGGCTGTATTCTAATCAGGCCTCGGAATTTACTGCGGCCCTCCCCTTCCCGGCTCTCGGCGCAGAGCTGACAGCAAAGGCTGTTATCAGTTGCAAGCAGCTTTTCAGGACCTCCCCCCACTCTGAGCCCTTTATCTGGAGGTGAGGGTCTTGGTTGTGAGGAGATAAAACACGCTGTCCCCCTCCCTCGAGACTGGTCCAGGGAACAGGAGAGCTTTGCAGAAGGGGCGGGGAGGGGGGTAGAGAAAAGAGCTCCACCCACTCCCCCCTGCTCTCCCTCCTTCCCAGCCTGAGGAAGCCCAGGGGCTTCGGGGGCTGGCTGAGTCCACGGCACTTGCTGTCCTCTTGCAAAGGGGAGTCAGGGATCTGCTGAAGCTTCTGGAACAATATGGAGAGGGCAGGGGTGGGGGTGGAGCAGGTGACGAGGAACC